TTCTTTTTTATTATTCAGTACCAGTATATATATATTGAAAGGTTTTTTTTTTTTAATCAGGAGTTTAATTTTCTTTTTAGTAATTCCTTTCTTTTTTTTTTTTATCCCCAAATCTTTTAAAGAATCTTTTTAAAGAGTATTTTAAAGAAATTCTGAAAATTTCAGAAAAACAAGACATGTAAACAACTGTTTTTGAAATTTTGATGTTATGTAGGATTGGTGGTTTCCATCAAAGCTCCCAATTCAGAACTTAAAAAGTAGCACACAATAGGCATTCGATAATACTTTAAATAAAGGAATGAAGGGCAACAATACTTTGTTGCATTTGTCACAATACTTTGAACATGAAACTTCTATTTTGGAGAAAAAGTAATCATGGACAATAATTATAATCAGCTTCTAATACTTTGTTTTGTCTTTTGCTTTTAAAAGTTATATCTGTGAAAACGAGGCTATTCCCATGCCACCACACTGGGAAAATGTGAATACTGAAGTACCGTATCAGGTAAGAGCAGACCTGACTAAGTGTATACTCCCATAGACATTGGGAAGGACCTCAATGAAATGATGCAAACTTCTTTTTCCAGCTTATTCCTTTGCACAGTCAAACACATGAATATAATGAAGTTGCTGATCTCTTTGGGAAAACAATGGATCGCAGCCGAATTAAAAGAATTCAGAGAATTCAAAACCTAGACTTGTGGGAGTTCTTTTGCAGGTGAGACAGTTTCTGGTCTGAAATCTTTCTTTGGCTTCTGATACTTTTATATTCTTAAATACATTTAAGCACAAATGTTAATTTTATTTTGTTTTATTCATTTTGTGGTGCTACATGGACTGTTTAGATGTGCTGTGATTTTTTCTCACCATATTTGTACCTGATCTCTCAGCTCTCTTGTTCCTCATTCTCAGGCATAGAACAGAGCAGCTCTGTAAGGGAAATGGGACTGACTTTGCTTACATTATCATAATGCAGTGCTAGTGATAAAAGTCTGTTCAGCACTCACGGAAGCTCTCTCTCCTTTCAAGGTTTAAAATTGGCATTATAGGAGAATCTGGGGAGCTGCTTAGTTTGGTTCATAGGACTGTATTAACTCAGCCTTTTATGTTGAAACAGAAGTTTCTGAAAACATTGTTGAGTAATTTTATAACAATTGCACTATCTTGCCTTTAGTTATCTGCTTATTTTGTTTTGAAGAACTCTTTAAAACTTACCTTCAAATTTTCAGCTTAGACCAGAGTTTGTATTGTAAGATTTAAAATTTCAATTCATCACTCGATTTAGGTTGGAAATGACCCATTAGTTTGTTCATTGTGCCCTTAACCTGAAAATAAAGCTATTACAGAAAACTTAAAGGAATTGCCCAAATTAATCTACTGTGCTATATTTTTGTTTATATTTACTTAAAATTACTTAAAATAAATGGTTCTCTGAACTATTGTTTGTTAATATTTTTGGATGAAATTTCATTTATAATATATTTTTAATACAGCCTGACTGTTAATTTTTTGAATTCAGATGAATTCCAAATACACACAGAAGTAGGGTATCTAATATAATTAATGAACTCCCATGTTTCAGATTCAACATTCATCAAAATTTGCCACACATCATCTATCCCTTTCTTGTTGTTAATGTTGCTGAAGTACTTTAAAGTAAATCTCAGGCCTTAACTCATATTATGTCACCTACTTGAGAATTAGGCTGACTTTTGCTTGGTATTGGTACATGAAATTCTTTCATGCTCTGGTAAGTCAGTTAATATGACCTGAGTCCATTCCAGATTTGAGTCGCACAATAGTTTATGGTAAAATGAGATGCTTTCAGCTTGTGTTCTTCAGTCTCTAGATCAAACAGTTCTTATTTCTCATAATAACTGAGTTTAACTAAGTTTCGAAGGTTTCATTCAGTTCCTGTTTGGATGATTTTTTTGTAGGGAAGGATAAAAGCCTCTGCCCCTTTTATTTTATTGTTACGGTGAATTTAGTATGCTTTTCTAAAATGATCTGATGAAAATTTAATTCATTATTCTTAATCTGACCTCTGAAGTAGATATTATATTAATCTTCCTCATATTTGAATCCTCAGTTAATTCCTAGTGGTAAAAATGTACCACTGAACCCAAAACATTTTATAATAAGAATTTTAATGGAAACTCTTTTACTTTGGTGATGCCCTTTACAATTTTATGTAATGTGAGCCTGTAGAAATCTGTGATGGTAAATGAACCTGCCCTCTGCTGTGACAATAGAAAATACTGAGTCTCTATAAAGGCAGCTTGTTATTTTGACATTTCTGTGAAGAGCTAAAATAACGTAATCAATCTGATTGTTGCATAACCTGTGACTTAACCATATTAGCAGTCAGGCCCACATGAGTCCACAGGGTATCAGTTTACACATTGCCCAGGCCTTTCCTATTTTTCTCCCTTCCAACAAATATATTTTAGTACTTACTTTGTGACAGGCACTCTTCTGGACACTAGGGATATAATAGTGTGCAGGACCATAGCTTTGAAAAAGAGTCAGGTCATTGTAATGCAGAAATATAAGGGTGAGCACAGGCCATCTTGGGAGCACAAAGTGGAAGTATCTGTCCACCCTTGAAGACAAAAATAGGGTGTGTATATTATGGAGTCAGGAGTATCAAGGAGCACTTCCTTAAGCAAATATCATTTAAGCTATGCATAGGTAGGAGAGGGGCAGGGCATTACAGGTATCAAGCAGCATAGGCCAAAGTTTGGATACAAAAGGAACATAGAACAGTGAAAGAATTTCAGAGAGAACAGGAAATTAGGATGATTGGTGAGAGAACAGACTAAAATGTAGTTAAGAGGCAGAGCATGCAGTAGTTCATAGTGGAATCACTTGGGTGATTGCGTACTTTTTTTCAGTAGCCTTAGTTGCGTTAAATGGATCCACAGTTGTAGCCAAGGAGTTAGCAGGGGGCAGACCACATGGGGCTTTATAAGCCAAACTAAGAAGTTTGGAATTTTTCCTGGGAACTCTGGAAAGCCACTGTGGGACTTTAAACAAGAGAGTGATGGATTTGATTTGTATTTTAGGAAAAAAAATCCATTAGGCTATACTGTAGATGTAAAGTCGTTTTTTGCCCCTAAGAAGACATCTAACAATGACTGGAGATGTTTTGATTGTCATATGGCAGGGTGAGGAGTTGCTACTAGCATTTAGTGAGTGGAGGCCAGGGATGCTAAACATCATACAATGCACAGGTCTGCCTCCCACAACAAAGATTATCTAGGCTAAAATGTCAAAAATGCCAGGGTTGAGAAACCCTGGCTTAAGGGGATCACAGAGGCAGGGAGATTAATGTAGGAGATTGTTTCAGTCATACAACTAAGAGACAGTGGTGGCCTGAAACAAAGTGGGTATCTGCTGTGTTGGAAGAGATATTAAAGATGTATGATGATAGGACTTGTTCTGGTTACGTAGTGCTGCTCTGACAAGAATACAGCCAAGTTGACACAAAAACATAACCACCACAGGACTTGATATTTGATTTAATGTGTGGATGTATCCTTTGGACACAACATCAGGAGAGATTAATCACTACAGGAGGACATCATGTTTGGTGAAGTTGAGTGTCAACGAGGGCATGGGAGACCTGCAGTAAGATGGATTAGCACAATAGTCACAGTGATGGACTTTAAACATACTGTGATTATGAGAGTGATGCAGAACTGAGCAATGTTTTGTTTTGTTGTCCATAAGGTCACCATGAGTTTGAGTCAATTCAGTGGATACTAACAACAACATTTGATTCATGGTAGTTGAAAATATAGGTCAAGAGCTCAGGAGAATGATGTAGATTAGAAATAAAGGTTTTGGAGTTGTTAGGAAATGTGTAGTAGAAGCTATAAGAATTGATATGATGACCAGGGAGTGTGTGTGGATTAAGAAAAGACCAAGGACCAAACTCAGGAACTAGATGAAGGAAGAGACAACCCAACGAGAATGAAAAGTAACAGTCACAGAAAGTAGAAGGAAACCCACAGAATGTGGAGCCACAGAAGCCAAAGGAAAAATGTAGTTATGCAAGTTGGAGACAGCCACAAGTTCAGACACGGAAAAGATGCCAGTTGTGGTGGTTAAGTTTGTGTGTCAACTTGGCTGGGCTTAGTTGAGTGGTTGGGCACCTAGATAGAGTATTCTTTCTGATGAGACTGGTAATCAACTCTATGGTGGAATCTACTGTGAGCAGCTGAGTAGCTGCCTTAGGGATGTGGTCTGCTTCCTGTATATAAGGAGAAG